TCTCAAAGGGTCTCTACTCCGACCCCGTCCTCGCGCCCTCTATCATCCGTTTCGGCAGCGCCATCCGCGACAAGGGTCTACTCGCCAGCATCATCGAGGCGCAGAGCAGCAAGCGCACGACGAGCGGTCGCGTTTCGTCGGGCATCCGCCTCCCCAAGCCCGTGCTCCTCGCCTTCCTCGAATCCCAGATCCACTTTCGCCGCTGGGAGTCCGTCGAAAACATACTCAAGTTCCTCGCCGAGGACTTCAAGGACGCCATCGACCCGAGCATACCCGCCGTGCTGGCGCGCGAGGTCTTGCGTCTGCGCACGGAGATGGGGACGAATCGGAACCAGCGCACGGCGGATGCGGATCTGGCCAAGGCGATAGAGATTTTCCAGCTCGTTTTCCAGCACGGCTTCGGCCAGCCCGTTCAGCGCCGCTTCGACAGCTTCGACAGCCAGCTCGGCCTCCTGTCTAGTGTGAACGCGGATTGGGCGGCCTTTTGCGCGCGACTTCGTGGGAAGTGGCCCGCTAATAACACTAAGCATCTCGATTTACCTACCGAGGACTTTGACCTCATCCTCGAGGGGATCGTGGACGCTTATGGCGCAGCGGAGGGAAGGCGGCTTTGGGATCTGTGGGTCGCACCCGTCCGGCCAGAGGATAAAGTCGGCTTTGGTGGTGTACAGAAGATGGACCCCGTGCGGCCGAGTAGAGGGCAGGGTTACGATTTTAGGAACGTGAGTGTGACGCTCAAGGACGTGCCTGGTGGGCCGCTGGTGTTTTTGGGCAAGGTGAGGCCGGCGTTGAGTACGTTGAGGGTGCTTGTTAGGGCCGCGGTCAGGGAGAGGGATGATCCTGCGCTTGTGAATGGAGGCGCTGGGGAAGTGGTGGAATGGGTGAAGGGGAGGATGAGGGAATTGGGGTTGGGGGAGGAGGATGTGGGGTTTGAGTGTGGGGAGAGGACGAGGGGGTTGCTGTAGAAATTTGGTGGCACTCGTACGGAGAGGGTTGACTGCGCTGTAAATACGTCTGTTGCATAGTTACGACGACCTTACTGTAGGTATTTCGGTGTAGATGATTGTGAATACTCAGGTCCGTGTACATGTTCCACTTCGCGCAATCCTCCTCCGTATACATCCCGTTCCACTTACCGTCATACCTATATATACCGTTACGCCCACGCCCAAACGCCCGACCGACTACTGCGCCGCAAAGAAAAAGGTAAAATAAATACTGCGAAAGGCGAGATTCGAACCCGCATCTCTGCCTGATCTCCGGAACCCGGGTTTATTACCCTTGAGTCGCTGGCCTTGCCAAGCGCTGCGCCGTTTGTCTCTGTGATAGAGAGGCAGTGTGCTGAACCAGTTGCACCACTTCCGCTTGCTTGCTTGCTTGTTGGGTTCGGTTGACGGGAAGGTGGTATATTAGGGCTGGTAATAGGCAGGGAGCTGGAGGGAAAGAAGAGAGAAGCTAATGAGGGAAGGGGAGGGAAAAGAATAGGGAGATGTGAGGAGGGAGTGATAGGAGGGGCAAAAAGGAATCGACGAAAGCAGGAATGGAGGAGGGCAGTGTAGGGGTTGGACTGGAGACGGGGGGTTCTTGAGCCTGTAGTCGGACTTGATACGAGTCTGACCCCATTGCGATGGATTGCTATCGCTGCTTGCTGAATTGGACGGCAGCAGCAAAGATCACGTATATTAATCAGACTGTGGAGAGGTGGTTTGGGCCTGCGGCAAAAAGAAAGACTTCGCCGTCCGAGGAGAGAGGAAAGGGGGAGCGGCGAGCCAAAAGGTAACGCGGGAGACGAGATTCGAACTCGCGTCTCCAGCCTTCTTCTTGTGAAGATGCTAGGCCTTATGTCTTGCTGTCGGCAGTCCCGTCATAGCGAAGAACCGGTCCGTAGTTTGTCGGTGGCGTGCTAGCCAGCTGCACCACTCCCGCTGTTTCTGGTTGCTGCTGAGAATCTGACAGACGTATATCAAGGCTTCGCTGGGACAGGAGGAGTGGATTATGGGAAAGTGAGACGTAGAGACTTAACGACTATGGACGAGAAGACTAAAGAAAGAAAAAATAGGGCGTCTGAGAGCATTCCGTGCACATACACATACTCAAAGCCTCAGGCTCAATCCCACCCTTCCGTCCTCCTATAGCTCTGACTAACCCCACTCACCCTCCAACCCTCCAACCCCTCTCCTTCTCCTTCAACTTCCCCTTTCCCTCTCTCCAAGTGCTTCACAACAGTAAAAACCATAGTCCCATAATGATGCATCACCCCATCAAAGGTGACCTCAAAAGGACTCCACGCACAACCTACAAGTCCTTCGACCTCTACTTCCGTCTTCTCCAAATCTGGCTTCTCAAACAGCTTGGGCTGGTGCCCGTGGCCCGGAGGCTGCTCGCGACGGCGACGTTCGGCGTCGTCGAGGAGCTTGACGAAGGATTCGATGGGGAGGCGTGCTACTACCGTCACCGTCTGTGGTGGTTTAGGGTTTGAAATAGTGGAGGAGGGAATGTTGTTGACGGAAATTGGTGGCGGGTTGGAGGGCGGGTCTTGGCGGATGATGGTGATGTTTCCTTCGGGGAGGAAGGTCGCTTGGAGGGCTTTTGTGTCGGCGGCGTTGATGGTGTCGAAGAAGTGTTGGATTAGTCGTTTGATGGACTCTGTGTCCGAGGACGGTGGTGCCATCTTGCTACTGGAGAGCGGGAGCTGTAGATCTTGATATTTTAGCTGGTCATGAAGGTTATTTGTCGTGGAAGCTGATGCATGGGGTAAGCTCTGTCTATCCTTGTAAATAGGTGGCTATTGATATTCGTATCCAAAACCAGATCAACTAGAAGAATCCTGACTCTCTTCAGACTTCTTCATTCTTACTGCCGTGTAGTGTAAGCTGTTCCTTAACCCTGGGATACCGAGCGAGGACAGAGGTAAAGTCACGTGATATTGCGGGTGTTTGCTACGCTCATAAGAACGCAGGCTTTATCGAAAGTAGAGCATCCTTTCAGAGACTGTCTTCGTAGTAACACCTCCTATGAGTATTGCCGTAGAGATGCTTTCACGAATTTCAGGTCACACCTCTTCACATGCAAGGCAATGGCGAACATGTGGGAAAAAGCAGTTGCAGCTTCGCCCCTGAAGATCGGGAAGTCTTGGAGGACGT